ATACTTACCTTTCTTTTAGGAAGTACAACAAAGAACATGAATATCTTATATATGCAATTCTGCAGGGCTGGGTGGTACTGGTTTACTAGATAGAGCAGAAAGAATCGGTGCGGGGAGGCAGCTCCAGAATCCCCTGCCAGGCCCGAGTGACAGTGGCTTGCCCAGTTATCCCACTCCAGCTTTGCCAGTGGTGCCAGCGCTCTGAGTGGACAGGTGCCCGGGCCGGGACCTGGAGGTGTCCCTCGCACTTGTTTTCATTCTTGGTGCAGTCACCTGTGTCATAGCCCAGTGGTAGTCTGTGTCCTACCCCATCTGGGAAGCAAAGATTCAGCCTTCTTGCCAGGGTCAAGATCTCTTCTTTAAGAGAAAATTAGCCAGTTATGTTTCGGGATAACATTCTCTACATGTACCTGTATTCGTTTTACAGGTTGTTTTAACAGTGTTGGATCCCAGCTTTGAAATAGAAAACCCTTACAGCCCCTACATGCAGGGTAAGAATTGTTTTTTATTTTTCAGATCCTTTTTTGATTGCTTCACGAGCATATTTCGATTGCTTCACCGAGAGGCTCTTTCAGTCATCCTTTCATTTTCCCTCTCCAGACCTTGTGACGCTAACAAACCTGAGGATAAACTTTACCAAACTCCATACCCTGGGGGATACTTCATTTGGAAGGGAGCAAAACGACTCCCTGGATAAATACTACTATGCGCTGTACGAGATGGTTGTTCGGGGGAGCTGTTTCTGCAATGGCCACGCCAGCGAATGTGGCCCCGTGCAGAAGGTGCAGGGAGACGTTTCCAACCCTGCCGGAATGGTGAGTTCTTCACTAAAGGAGCAGTCCGTCCTCCTTCAGGCTCCACTGTCCCGGTGCTGAACACAGAGATCAGCAAATCCCAGGGCCAGTTTTGTGTTGGGGAAGGTGTCGTTCGGCCAGAGATTCTTTTGCATTATGTCATTAGGGGCATCATCGAAGTAATGAGCAGCATTGATAATGCGTGACTTCAAGGGAGCCTGTCTTCTCATTTTGTTCATGTATTTCTTATGGAATGGAAATTTGACAGGAGCGAACCGTAATCTCATGTTCACGCTCTCACTGAAAACAAAATTGATTGACGGTGTGTTGAGCGCAAAACCCCATACTCAAAGCTAAGGTGTCAGTAATATCTGATGTCGTAGATGGCTGGTCCTCGTGGTATTCGTACTCTCTGAATGACCATGTCGAGTGGCTGCAGAGCCTTTTCACTCTGGAGACCGGTGTTAAAAGGCTGAGGTGGAGAAAAGAGTACTTGGTGGTGGTGTAGTTGCAGAGTAGATGGATCCCAGGGTCTCACACCCGCTGAGCTCAGTCCCCAGCCCAGCAACCTTACATTTTTATGCACAGCCGCAGGGGTGTTGACTAAATAATTGGGAACTGTTTGCTAGGCACAATACCATCAGGCTTGCTGGGAGCCCCCCCACGCCTTCCCGCACAGCGCTGAGAGCATTTTATGAAAACTCACGAGGACTGTGTCTTCCTCTAGCTTCTCCCCTTTTCTAACTCCATTTCCACCCCCGAAACAACCTCTCCCAGCCTTGTCCCTCATTTTACTGCGGGCCACAAGGTACCTCCCTGAGATTAGAATACAAAGAGCCCCCGAAGTATTGCAAGTGTGCCCGACTGTGCTCGGAATCTTTGCAAACTTTAAAGGCTGGGTAAGCAACTAACAGGAGCGTCACCGCTTGCTGTGACCAGCAGGGGGAGCCAAGATTGGAGGGGACCCGTGGCCTGACAGGCCTGGCTCGCGTGACCCTGTGTATCGCACAATGCAGGTCCACGGCCGCTGTGTCTGTCAGCACAACACCGCCGGCCCCCACTGTGAGCGGTGCAAGGACTTCTTCCAGGACTCTCCGTGGGGGCCCGCCGTGGGCCAGGGGGACAGCGCCTGCCGACGTGGGTGAACACGCGTGCCCCGGGCTCCTCGCTCTGGAAACATGTAGCTCCTGTCTAGGGCTCTGACAGGGCCAAGTGGAATGACCCGGGGGTCTGGGGATTGAGGGGCCTCCCGTGGCGCCACCTTCGTTCCTCGGGTTCTCGCCCTCACCCTGGCAAGGAAGGCAAAAGTGGGGTGAGCTGATTCAAAGCCAAAGATCCCCCAAGTGAAAACAGAATTCAGGTCTGCCAAAAAGGAGAAATTGAAAAGGAAAGTAACGTGAAACACAGATGTATTCATGAGAAGGTGAAGGCAGAGACAAATCGGCCCTGTGAGAAGTGCTAGACAAGGAAAAGTTCAAGGGGTGTCCTTGTTCTAGTCATAGTTATATGGGTTCTTAGCCAATCGGGATCTGATCCTTTGTTTAGGGGTCCTGGGGTCTTCATTGATTGGTGCGTTCTAGGCCAGTCAGGCTCTTAGATTTTGTTGCTGGGGTGAGCATGAGGCTTGGGGAACTTTCCAGTAAATGCAAGCAGGTCCCTAAAATGAACTGTTCCACACGTGCAAAGGCTTCACGAGGGACAATTTCCAGTAAGCAGGTGGTCACTTCTATAGCCTTCTGCCAGTTTGTGTCCCTCATCCCTGCCTGTCTCCCCCTCTCATGGTCCCTACCCAACTGCGAGACATCCTGATCTCTGCAATGCGCTCATGGAGCAGAATCACCGACTTCTCACACTGCTCACCACGGTGTCACTGCTGTGTCGTGTGGCACACCTTCCGAGAAAGGGCGGAGCCTTGTGATGGCAAAATAACCGGGCAGTGCAACCCCAGGAATTTGATGAACACTGGATTGGGGGTTGAGATCTCAGTGGTCTCGCTGAATGCGGCCTCCGACCCACAGGTAGACAAGAGAGGAAGAGGGCAGGGTTGAGTTTAGCAGGCCACTGTAATTCTCTATAAATTATTTAGGTCAACAAGATGTTCTTGTCATTTTTGGCAACTGAATTTTGGTGAACTTCCAGCCTCTTTTTCCAGATTTAAGAAAAGCGGAACTCGAAGGAATGAAAGGTCCCAGAAGAGGCCTCATGACGAAGCCCCGTATGGGACAGTCACGGTCCACACGACCCAGCAAAATGCTTAGGAGCTGAGGTTGTTTGGGGCGAGTGGACCCCAGGACAGACAGCGCAGATAGCATTACCACACAGACAAATCCCTCAGACAGACTGCCTGCGTGTCAGCCTCTGGCTGAGCCCCAGATAAGATCCAACGCCCTGCAGCCGCCCTACTAGCACTTCTGTCCCTGAGAAGGACCGAACAGGACTCAGATCCAGCCCCTCAGTGCATACAGAATATTTCCAGTTAATATATTCCAATTTACAAAGCTCAAGTTGGTGAAAGTATTCTTTACAGGTCCCCACTATCCATATTGTTCTCTAGCTTCTAAATCATCTAAATGGTTTGTGTTTGTTTGTTTTTGAGGCAGGGTCTCACTAGCTGGTTCAGCCTGGCCTCAAACTCAGGGCATTGCTCTTGCCTCGGCCTCCTAAATGCTGGGATTGCTTGCATATGCCACCATGCCCCACTTTGTATGGTTTTAAAATCTCTGAACATTAGCATTTAGGGGATGCATTTTACAGCAAGCGTAAGAATCCAAGTGCTGCTGGACCTGCGCACTTGGCATCTCTGCTGAGGGCGGGTAGGCATGCGCATCCTCCCTCCAGACCTTGGTGCATCTCGCATTCAGCGCTTTTCTCTCCTCCGCAGCCTGTGACTGCAACGGCCACTCGGAGCGCTGTCACTTCGACCCAGCTGCGTACCTGGCCGGCGGCGTGAGCGGCGTGTGCAAGGGCTGCGCTCACCACACGGAGGGTGCGCACTGCGAGCGCTGCCGGCCTTCAGCGCTTTTCTCTCCTCCGCAGCCTGTGACTGCAACGGCCACTCGGAGCGCTGTCACTTCGACCCAGCTGCGTACCTGGCCGGCGGCGTGAGCGGCGTGTGCAAGGGCTGCGCTCACCACACGGAGGGTGCGCACTGCGAGCGCTGCCGGCCGCTCTTCTACTGGGACCATCTCAGGGCCGCCTCTCACCCTCGCGCCTGCCTGCGTGAGTCTGCGGCTGCTGGGCCCCGCGCTTGTGGTGGTGGTGGGGGGAGTAAATGAAATATCCAAGCATATGCAAAACAACAGAGAATAATAATAAGTCCTGAACACCACCACATCTTCTATCAAAAATCTGGTAACTTGCCCTGTTGCCTTTGGCCCGTTCCTTAATGAAGCACAACCAACACACCTCACACCCCAGGTTCACTTCCACCCTACTTATCCACCCAACTTCCTAGGGGTAAATTCTAATATATTTATCCCTGCCACGCTCGTGTTTTAGACTTTTTTTTTGGGGGGGGTGCTGAATATTGACCCCAAAGCCTTCACACTGAGATACATCGCCAGCACTTTTTTTAATTTATAGTTTGATACAGGGTCACCCTAAGTCACTAAATTACCCAGGCTGGGCTGGAACGTGCAATCTTCCTGCCTCAGCCTGCCGGAAGGCTGGCATTACGGGCATGGGGATTTACCCTTTCATCTGTGTCTTTATCCAGAAACAATATATGTTGGCATGTTCTCAAATCACGACGGCGTTGGATAAACGATATCTTGCCATTTCAGTCCTTCAGGAACTTGAGTATTTCGTTCAACGTTTTTTAATTTGTCCATGTTAATTCCTTCTTGTGTAAAATCCCTTCTTGCAAGTATGTCGAAATGCATTCGTCCATTTTTCTTCTGGCGCCGCAGGATCCAGTCATATCCGGCCGTGCACATGGGCAGCCTGTCCCTCATAAACCTATGTAAAGTAGGAGTGGAATTTCTGGGCCTTGGGCTTCGCGTGTCTTCAGATTGATTAGTGTGAGCGCTCCTGTGGCTCCGTGTCCTTGCCAGCGCTTGATTTTCTCAAGCTATAATTTTTGCGAATTTTGCTTTGCTAATGAAGTGATATCCTTGTGTTAATTTGCATTTCTCTACAGGGCTAGGGCTAAAATGAAGCAAGCAAATGAGTCCCCAGATTTAAGGAGGCACTCACTGTCAGGGTCATGTACGTGCAGGACTGACCCTTGCCACTCGCAAGAACCTAAACGAAAACCTCCTTAAATTCTGTACCCTTGGCATCTCACTTGTCTAGTGTTAGTCCCATCATTGCCATGACGCTGCCTCGATAAAACCCCAAGCTGATAACTCGCCAGTGTCAGCGATTGGCCCGAAGGTCTTACTCTCCTTAGAAAGGTACAGGTTAGCCTATTACTGTTCTGTGGGCATTGCACACCTAGGGAGTGTATGTTACAGGCAAGGAGCACTGAGTGTGGGGGATCCAATGCTTTTATAGCAAGTGGAGAAAGCCTCCTCATGGCTGGGAAGATGTTACCATTTCTCCCTAATTGCTTGCTGCAAATGCAGCTCTGAGAAACCGCCCTGGGAAAGAGCAAGCGAGATCTCGCATCATTGGCCACTCAGCCAAGGCATTCAGGATGCCCAGGACCCACAGAGAGTTGCCCCTCCCGGTACCCAGAAGTCCAGCTTCTCAGGCTGTATTATTAAAGCAAGGGGAGGGGGGCTGCTATGAAATCGGGACTTCAAACTTTAAATAATCATAATAACAGAAACATCTACACAAACGTCCTTCAGGAGCACCTGGACACCATGTGCGAAATTGCAAGCTTTAAGTAAACAGTATGGAAAAAGCATCAATAAAGGATTTTGTCCAGTAGGCACCAACATAAAACATGACATTACAGGACCTGTTCAAAACTGATATGAGAGCCAGATATGGTGGTGCAGCCCTGTAAAGCCAGCACTCAAGAGGAAGTGGCAGGAGGATTGTCATGAGTTAGAAGCCAGCCTGAACTAAGTTTCGAGACCCTCTCTCAAAAAAAAAAAAAAAATGATAGGAAAAACTGGACTCTCATAAAACACTTAGGGGAGCAAAATCCTATAGGTTTTTTACTGCAACCTATAATCATATACATACAACCCCCACTCGTTTTTATTAATGATCTTTTCTTTTTTAGGGGATACCAGGGATCAAACTCAGGACCTTGCACTTTTGAGACAGTCTTGGTGCCACTGAGCTAAAGCCCTGGCCCTTTTGTTAATGTTTTTCAAAGATATGTATTTAGCCGGGCATGATGGCGCACACCTGTAATCCCAGCACTCAGGAGGCTGAGGCAGGAGGATTGCTGTGAGTTTGAGACCAGCCTGGGCTACACAGTGAGTTCCAGGTCAGCCTCAACTACATAGTGAGACCCTGTCTCAAAAATCCCCCCCCCAAAAGATATATATTTATAGAAGATTCAATTGCTGTCTGGGCAGAATCAGGAAAATACAATGTTTTTAAGCAGATCATCTAGGAAAATAGAAAGAGATTTGGAAATAATAAACTAAATGTTTCAAACTTATCAACCAAGGTCTTGTTCCTTCAGAACTACTTAGTATTATCTTAGTGGTGCTTTTGAAAGAAAAATGCTGATCAGAAATGAAGAAATCATTCATTGTAAACATGGAGTTATTGTTCCATGAAAGGCGGATGACGAGCTTGTAACAGGCCTCCCGCATGAGACTCCCCAGCTGCTTCCAGCTGACCAAAATGAACAGTTACTGTGTAGAACTCCCGTATAAATTCTCTCTAACTTGTCCTAGTTTGAATCCAAATATTTATGTAGATAGATTCTAGGCATAAACATCAGTGAATTTTAAAGTCTACGTAAGATTCAGTTAAGTGTGATACAGTAAGACAAAGATTTAGTAAACCCCTGCAAATAAAAGTTTGTTAGAATCAAATTGTGCAACAGGAAGAGGTTGCATTGAAGTTGTAGAGGCTGTGACATAGTTGTGTCCGAGTTGCCACTATCCACTCACCTGGTCCCAAAGGCTACTTCTGTGCATAATTAAATTATTCTCTGGAACTCAGTTCTGAGTCTCCTAAATCAAGTTGAGGTGTTTTTTTTTTGTGTTTGTTTGTTTTGTTTTCTTCCTTTTAGCCACTTCTGAAATGAATTTGGATTTGTCCTTCCTTTCTGGAAGTAACTGACTTTCAGTAGAAGAAAATGAGGTGTTTTTTTTTTTCCTCCAAACTAAACAGAACCCACTCCTGTTTTTCCATAGTAAGATTTTATCACCAGCCAAAATCCAAACAGTGAGAACTTGGAAGACTCTGTCAGAAAACCAAGCCTTTGCTTCAGTGACACCAAGCAACTGGTTTGCTGGATTTCTTCCACTAAACTCACTAACCTAAATGGTTTCTATACAGATAGAGCTTTACCCTGGAGGGTTTTGTTTTTATTAATCCTAAGCAAGCATGTATAAATGTGAACAAGGTTATTCTTTCAAGTGAAGATGTTCACTTTTTACATTTATGGTGTTCCTTAAAAGAGGAACCTCTTGGAAACCCAGCAGCACAAAGGCCCAAGAGACCTCAGTGGTCACCAGTGCCTACCAACATGCTTGTGCTCTGTCCCAAAGCCATGAGTACAAGTTGAGCATCTACCCGGACACCTTCAATAAGAAAGGAACTCGCTCTATCAGGCAGTCCTGATAGAGCTCCTTCTTATACCCAATCAAAGTCTACCTTCTGTAGCTTTTCCTCTGCCGCCCTTGGTTTACCCACTGGAATTACTCACACCACCAGCATCCCTCTTCATAGACACTCCTTTCTTGCATGGTTCAAATTTCCACTGAAAAAGAAAAAAAATTGCTATTTTTGTTTCTGCTTTGCTACAGATGTCTGCTTATTCCATTTTCCAAATCTCTTCATTCAAGCTTTTGCCTCCCCAGTAGATTTCTAAAAAGGACACACAAGGGATGAGTGTTCCGGGTTGCCTTGCTTTCTTTCTTGGAGGTGTTCCAGAAAAAAGTCCAAAAGAATGATACACATTCCTTGTGGTATATTTTGTCCGTCATGAAGAAGAGCAGACTTATCTTTTAACCATGTTTCAGAGGTTTGGTGGACCTCCTACATGCTCGCTCTCACATGGCCCTTGTGAGAAGACAAATCCATCATCACAACATTCCACTCTTGTCTCTTGACCTGCTCTTAACCTTTAGAGTCTTGCTTTTTTAATCCATTTTTCATTGAGTTGAGTTTCATTGAGTTTCATTGAGTTCTCACAACATAAAAGTTGCCATTTTAAATGAAGAGCAAGTCATGAGCACAATGTCTATGAAAATTAATTCCAAAGCATTTTCATTCCCCCCCCAAAATAATGGATCCATTCTTAACATTTAGTCTTCAAAATAATAGGTTTTCTGTGCTCCTTTGAATTTATAATCATTTAAGTCTTTTAAAGATAAATGTATGGAATTACCTAACATTTTTCAAATGCCAGAAATCTGGGAGACATTCTGAACATCTTTGTCCATTAGTCTAATTATGCAAATATTTTAAATTACTTAATCGAAGTGAAATCGTTCTAGCACGGGAAAAATGCTATGCATATATTTCAGCTTTCCCAGTTCGCAGTTAACTAAGACAATGTCTTTCTGTGACTCCAGCTTGTGAGTGTGACCCTGATGGGACCGGCCTTTGTGTGAGCCACTCTGATCCTGCCTCGGGCACTGTGGCCGGCCAGTGCTTGTGTAAGGAGAACGTGCTAGGAGCCAAGTGCGACCAGTGCAAGGCCAACCACTACGGACTGAGCGTCTCAGACCCCCAGGGCTGCCAGCGTGAGTCCTCAGGGCTGGGCCACCAATCTGGGTGTGTTTTAAAGCTGATGTCGTCAGTCAGCCCTTAAAAGTCTTTAATTGTAGACCCCTAAGGGTTCTAACCGGAGCCAGAGTCTTGTAAGTGATACAATATCTACCACAAATTCTAGAAAGTTGGTTTACTAAATTTACCATAAGTGTCCAGCAGGGGGCGCGTTTCCCGTCCTAGACAAAGTGTGGGGGGCGGGGCTCAAAGAAATTTAATACCAAATGGCAAAACCTCTAAGAAAATGGCCTCCACTACAACTCTTCACAGATTATCTTATGTGATGCACTATGATGGCTTCTTGGGTCATTTGCAAGACAGTTTTGGGGGTTTTATGTTTTAAATTATTTATCCCTTTGCTGTGGCACCTCCTCCCTTGCTCAATGCCACGGATTCTTTAATTCTCTGACAAAGAAAGGGAAACATTTTAAGGGAGGGGTTGAGGTGAAACAATCTTAGCAGTTTTCTGGGGCCAAATGGTCAGGCCCTTGGATTTAGGATCACAGAAGTTTAGAGCTGCTTAAGGCCTCATAGAGCTGTGAGGTCCTCAGGGAATCTAGGTAAATGCCTTGCATTTGATTACAGCATTATGCTCTATATTTTTGCTCATCTAAGGAGCTGTGGGCTATTTGCATTTTTTGGAGAGCGACTAACTGAATCTTTCTGTCATAAAGTGCTCTTATCAGGTGTAATGGCAAAATTAAATATCATAATAGTGAATTTTTGTAGTTAAAACAATTTTCTATCATACCGTTTAGCACTCCTGGTGTCTCCCTGGTTCACTAACATGATGTCCTATGAGAACAGGCTGGACACTGGTTTTGGTTTTGTGTCACTCTGTGTGTGTGCGTGTGTGTGAGAGAGAGAGAACACTTTATTGACAAATAATTCACTTATCAAACAATTTACCCTTTTAAGACTTTAACTGAATAATTTTAGTATATTCAAAGTTATATAACCAACAACACAATCAACTTTAGAACATTTTTATCAACCCAAGAAGAAATCTTGCTTCTAGATGTATACCAAAAGAATGTAAAGCAGATTTTCAGAGATAGCTGTATACCTGTATTCACAAAAGCATCATTTGCCTTAGCCAAAAGATGGGAGTGACCCAAGATCCATCAGTGAGTGGACATACCCATGACCCTATCCCTAGGCAAAAAGTTATACACACACACACACACACACACACACACATATATACACGTATACACTAATGTGCTACAACATGGTTGAACATTAAGTACATCATGCTAAGAAAAGCAAGGCAGTCACAAAAAGACAAAAATTTAGCTGGGTACAGTGGTGGACATCTGTAACCTCAGCTACAGGGGAGGTTGAGACAGAAGGATCACAAGTTCGAGGCCAGCCTGGGCAACTTGGTGAAACTATCACAAAAGAAAACAACAAGGGATGTAGACATAGCTTAGCGGTGAGCATTTCCCTGGCATGCTCAATGCCCTCCTACTTTAATCCCCAGAACTTCAAGAGGGAAAAAAACTGTATAATTCCACTTACATGAGGTGCAGAGAGCAGTCAGATTCAAATAAAAGAAATTTACTTTCTGAGTGATGGAAAGTAAAATGTTGGTTTCCCAAGAGGTCAGGGAAAAGAGGAATTGGGAGTTGTTTAATGGTTCAGAGTTTCAGTTTTAAAAAATGAGGAGTTCTGGAATTAGGTTGCACAACAATGTAAATGCACTTAACTGAAAAATGATGGTAAATTTTGTTAATGTATTTTACAAGAAAAGAAAAAAAAAAACCATTCCCTTTAGCTACTCCTCCCTAGTCCCCATCCCCCTGCACTAGGCAAGTACTAATACGTTGTCATTATGTGGTTACTTACTGTGGATATTTTGTGCAGAAGGAATCATATACTGTGAGATCTTTTGTGACTGGCTTCTTTCGCTTAGCATATTTTCAAGGTTCATCCATATCGCAGTGCGTACCAATGCTCCTTTTTTAATTGCTGAACGATTGTTCCCACAGGGAAAGTGTGTACCTGGCTCTGGCTGCCTAACTTCTTAGCTATCACAGTGTAAGCAGGACTCAGGAATATCTATGGGTGGAGGAGACAGAGCAGGGAGAGAGCGAAGAGAAAAAGTCACACAGCTGTGAGAAAGAGACAGGGAAGTGACAGTTAGCTACATCTGCCAGACGGGACCAGTCAGCGATAACCGAGACTCTTGGAGACTTGGCCTCTGAGTCACCGGCCTGGCCAGTGTTTCGCAGGCTGACGGTGCCGCCCACGCAGCCTCCTCCACCGATGGTGTCAACGACAGACTCTGGGAAGGCCTGGGCTGGGACTTCCTGTGTGGAGCTGGAGGCAGTACAACAAAGCAGCCAGGCAGCAGCCAGTTCCAGGCAGGCCGCTCTGTGTCCTTGCGGCCCAGTGTTTTGCTCAGCGTGAGCAAGGAAGGGTACTTACGAAAGTGGGGGCCTCGAGGAGGAGAATAACTGTAATTCTGTGTTTTCAGCCTGTGACTGTGACCCCTTCGGGAGCCTGGCACTCTCGGCTTGTGGCGCGGATACAGGGCAGTGTTCATGCAGGGCCTTTGTCACCGGACCACGCTGTGAAGAGTGTGCCGTGTGTATTCACCTGTCATTTCCCTTTTATGCAGTGATGCAGATTTCAAGCGCCATTGCTTTGAAGGGACTTGGTCTTGTTGCTCGCTTTCCCTGGTCTATTGTATTTCGGCGCTCGTGTGGTCTGAGTATTTATAACACAGAAATTGGCAAGCACTGTACACCAGCCCTCTCCACACCAGTCCTTCAGAGACGGCTGTCAACCATTCTCCAGCGAGCCACTGCCTTGGGCCGAACCTGCCCAGCAGAGCTGCCAGCGGGCTTTTCTATTGCTGTCCTTGGCAGTGCCTGACAACGCAAGACATTTATCTGTCTCTTCCTTGGGCCCACCAGGCAAACCACGCAGGCTTTCTTTTACCTCCTGCACACAATCGCCTTACCACTCCTACCATTTTCTGCCTAAAAATATTTTTTAAATGAGTCCCTTAAAAAAAAAAAAGCAAACAAACAAACGGGTTTAATTGTATTTTAGATTTCTAAAAGAAATAAACTCTTGGATTTTTCACAGACACCACTAAACATATGAGCATGTAGCTTCTAAAATAAGTAACATAAGACATCTTTGCTCCTTAAGAAATGTGCCACGCAGTGGGGGAGTTCAAGCCCAACTCTTTACTTTGTTCTCCAACCTTGGCAGCCCACTATGACATTTCAGAAAAAGGAAAAACAAAAATGTAACCTAATAAAAGAACAGTGACCTTGATGTGTCTGAAGAAATGTAGCTGATAAATAAGAAACATGTGCCTTTGAGGAAATATTTTAAGTGCTAATATTTTAAGTCGCTTTACTCAAAACATATTAGGGTGGGAAAGCGGAGATGGGGAAAAAAAGAAGTGAGGAAGTAAAAGTGAAGAGGAAAAATAACAGATAATAAGAAATAAGGAGATGGATCGTTTGCAAAAGGTGCAGCTCGTGCCAAAATGACTGGTTTACAAATGACTGTCTCTGCCGGACCGTGATACGCATAGCATATCTTAAAGTCAGCGTGACTGACTTCTCTACCCTCAAATATGTCAGTGTTGTAAGTAAAACCCTCAGGATTCTTGTGGTAATGGAACCTAAAGTTTTTATTAAACAGCTCCAAGTAGAACAGCAGAGCTCAAAGAGGACTTAAATGTCCCAGCTTCAGCAAAAGCTGGCACTTTTAGAATTGGTTTCCGTTGCATTTCTGCTTGAAACAGTACACGGCAGCCTTCTGTCCCGCTACCCAAGTCCTAGCGGTGGAGGAGAAGGATCCGTGGAGGTCACTCTGGCCAAGACTGGTGGCCAGGCCGTTAGTCCACTTGCTGTGTGGTGGTGGCTTTGCACTGATTTCAGTACCGCACATCAGAGCAGCAAAAGTCTTCTCAGCTGGGATCAACTGAGCCCTTTCTCTCCACAGGTTGGATGCTGGGGGCTGGGGACTCATCTCCAGGAATTGTTCTCCCTGCGACTGTGAACCTGGAGGGGCTTCTGCTAACACGTGAGTCCATACAATGGATAATGGAGTTTTGTCGTGCTGGTCCTTGTTTCCACACGGCACTTTTGGTTCTGTTATGCTCATAGTCCTAAGTGAGGGATTTTATTCCGTGATGAGCAAAGGGAGTAAAAAGACATTCACGATAGCCCAGTCATTGCTACTTCAGATATCACCAGGGGTCGAGTAAACAGTCCTCCTCCTGGGTTTCCCATCAGCTGGTGGGGTAGGCGGGCACCTGAAAGGCCTGCCTTAAAGACCACCTATGTGCCATCCTATAAGGGCAGGTCCTCACACAACCCTTTTCCTAGCTTTTGGAGAAGCACCAGAGATCCACAGAAGTGGCTGCTTGGATTCACTGGATCTGAATTCACTTTTCAAGACCAGTCAGGTGGAGCCCAGGGTCTCTCGGCATCCTCGTGGGACGACGGGTACATGAGTCCCCACTCTGGAAGCCTCTAGCTCTGCACACCCAGCCATCACTTCCGACACACACACACACACACACACACACACACACACACACACACACACCTTTCTCACAATAGACTTTTCTCAGGTGCCCACCCAACGATGGTCAGTGTGAATGCCGCCCCCACATTGTTGGCCGAAGCTGCACCGAACCTGCCCCCGGCTACTTCTTCCCTCTCTTGAATTTCTACCTCTGTGAGGCAGGGGAAGCCACACCGCTCCAGGGACTGGCGCCTTTGTTTCGTATCTCATTTATTCTCCCCAGAGACTTCGTTTGATGGCACACAGGTAAATACGCGCAGTACACACTTGAGATCATGGCAAGTGTACCAAGGAGGGACTGCAGCCGTCTGCAGATGCCACTCTGAGTCGCATGTTATATCACCCAAGGGCAGGTTGTGTTCAGTTTGAGGGCAGAGTCTGTGCTTTGCTTACCTTTGTGTCCTAGTTCTAGCACAGAGCCTGCAACAGAAAAGCAAATCAGATCAAGTTGTCATGAAATAGACTCACTCGTTGCTCTTTCATGCAAGCGTCCGACAGAATACGTTGTTTGCACATCTTCTCTGTCTCTGCTGTGATGCTGTAACCTGTGCGCAGTGGGCGTGTCTTGTAGTCATTGTTGCACTAGTGCTTAGCACAGTGCCGGACACACGGTGGAGACTTTGTGGATGAAGTACAAAAGATTGTCCAGAGACTGGCCCAGCCATCGACAGGAATACGTGAAAGGAAAGGGTGATTCAAGATAGAAGACTCTAAGGAGAGAGCACATGTGAAAATCAATTCTCTAGACAAGATTTGGGTAGAGCAAGCAGGGGAGCGCATTCCAGGCACCAGAGTCCAAGTCATTTCCTGGGGTCTCTTCCTTATCTGGACTCTGTTTGTAAAGAGAGACGATGCCCCATAGGAAGCTTGCAGTTTGCTGATTCGTGACTGGAAGTGAGACTGTCAGTGCCTCCAGTTAGACATAAGCTGTGGTGAGTGGGATCAAAGTGAAACAATTGTATGCCTCAGTTCTTCTTGCTGCCCTTTAACACTGCATCTTTATGATGGTGACCAGAAAGGAAAACTTTTGGAAAGAAAAATTGACATTTACATAGTTAGGCCTTAACTGTGAAGTCAATAGTTCCTATCTTTTAGATAAGACAAAGAAACCAAAATAAACATGATCTAAAACAGATGCACTATTTGGTTACTTACCAGTCATTCAGCCCGTGGCTGGCGGTGGATGCTGATGACCCACTAAACAGGACACTGCCAAGAGTGCCAGTGCAGCTCTAGGCCAGGGGTCGCAGCAGTGTCGGAAGGAGGGCCGGGTCCCTTGTGAGAGGACCCCATCATTTATTTCATGAATCCTCCACGGCTTAAAGAGAAAACTGAGGATGGAAAATAGATTTAAAGGGCAGGTAGATTTTTCTGAAGAGATTAGAAAGTAATGCCTGTGGCAAAAGAAAGAGAATTAGAGATGGAATTATTTAAAGGACACCAATTGCATAATTTTCCTTTTCCACTGAGGACAAGATTGTCAATTGTCAAAAAGATTTAAATTAGGCACAACTTAATTATCTGCATTCATTTATACTTTTGTGGTATTCTTACCATTGCTGTTGCTACTGCTGATATGTTGTTAATAAAAGTTCTTTTGGGCCGGGGATTTAGCTCAGCAGTTCAGTGGCCTGCCTTGCAAGCACAAGGACCTGAGTTCAATCCCTGGTACAAAAAAAAAAAAAAAAAAAAAAAAAAAAA